ACACACACACACACACACACACACACACACACACACACACACAACACACACACACACACACACACACACACACACACACACACACACACACACACACACACACACATAACCACACACACACAACCACACACACATTCCTATTATATCACACAAATAGGTTTCACTGGTCCCAGCAAGACAATTTTCTTTGTGCATTTTAATACAATCTTGGTTGAAAAGCAAAGACTGACACAATAATAGTTATACATCTTGATTTGAGTCTTCAACTACTTTCAATAACACATACTTAGGTTCCGACTTTTTCTAGCACTTGTGAATATGAAAAATTTAGTATGAAGCATAATTAAGTTTTTAATTCTATTCCTACTACCAAAAATAAATTCAACAGGCACTATTTTTATAACAAAACCTGTAGTTTGTCTTTACCAATGTTCAACTTCAGTCCGGAATTTTTTCTCTAATTCACAGTCACAAAAAGATGCTTTATAGTTTCGCAGTAAGCATTACAAAAACTGCAGCAGTTTAAAAGAGTAATATCTTATAAACATTTCTTTGAGAGACTGGTAACCAATGAAGATCGCGGAGTACTGGTATGATGTGGTGAGACTTCTGAGTTTTTCGTAAGAGACGAGCTGCTGAATTCTTAATAGACTGAAGTTTTTCCATTTAAAAGTTAGGTATTCCGAACAATAGGCTGTTGCAATAACCGAGTCTAGAAGTCACAAATGCCTGGATGATTAGCTCTGTTTGCTTGCTGTCAATAGGGTGAAGAATCTTAGATATTCGTTGCAGACTAAAATGATGATTTACACACTTTGTTAATGTGTGATGTCATATCACATTTGTTTTTGAAAATTACACCCAGGTTTCTAAATTTCGTGCTTGTTGTGATAACAGAATCTCCAGCTCTGATACTGTCTAGTATGGTGCTGTCTCTGGAAAACTTAGAGTTGAAATGGACCAATTCAGTTTTATCATCATTGAAGACAAAGTAGTTAGACTTGAGCCAAGAACTAAGTCCATACACACACGCCTCAATAGTTGCTTTTTCATCATAAGGATTTTCACATATAACATATGTTATTTTCAACAAGAGTCCCCGTGGAGTTAGTGTGCATTAGCTATTGCGACTAAACTCATTCTGAACGGCCCCTTTGTCTGCCTGTCTGTGCATTTGTCATTCTGTTAGTATCAGCTTCCCCATGCATGTCCTTTATCACCAAATCGAATCGAGGTGCAGTTACTACAAACAGCATGCAATTTAAATATTTCAAAAATCACGTAGCTTCAATCACATTCCTCCCATGATCTATGTTCTCACATGTCAAAATGACCCTCCAACCCCCTTTGTCTTTTTGTAATAAAACTTGTGCTCGACGGGGAAGAAGAACTTTCTGCCAATATATTGCTGCCTTATCTGTCAGCATATTTCAGGGATAGGCTCGTCCACACAACATTCTACAATATTGAGACCGATAACTTGGCTACTTCACATAATACCATTCATATAGTATTTTTATATCATACCATTTGAAAACGTTTCAAAAGACAACATTTTTTAAAAATAAAATCTCCTTGTGAATTTCAATTATTTGTATTTTTCAACGGTATTAATATAATAATAATAATAATAATAATAATAATGGCGATAAATAATCATTGCTGTGTCGGGATTCGGAAGCCTGTCGGAAAAAGTGCCTGGATCCGTCCCTTGAGATGATTCTCCTTTTTTAAATAAAGCATTTTTTAATCCATACTTTTTATACTGTTATCATATGAATATTATTTTCACTAGTTAAAGATATAGGACCCTCTATAGGACCTATAGGCACTGTCATACAATAGATATCAAGGTAATGGGGTCCCTGAGGGTGAGCTACTCTCTACAAAGTGGAGAAGTGTGGGGATATGCAATGGGTACCCATCGACCCACCTAATGTGGTTAACTTGTAAGACAATCACTGACCCAGACAGTATAACAATATATAATACTTTATTGCCCATTATATTATTATCTGTAAGATATGCACGCTTCTTGTGCGTATGAGTTTCGGACTACCGCTTAGATCACAAAATGCTTAGAACTTCATAATCAAATCACCAGAGCATAATACTGTAAGAAAATAATACCCTTAAATCAATCAACAATATTCATCAATATTCAACAATATTTACGATAAATCAGGTATTGTTCTCGTATAAACAGTCTGCGAAAAGACATTGCATTTGTAAAATCGTTAAGTATTGTTATATATCATTGCCAGTAGACAGACGCAGTTTAAAGCATGGACTAACCGACTGCGATAGATGTAATATATGAAAGTTCATTTTAGTAAAAGGCAGCACTGACAAAATAATTAACACAATCAACTAAACAAAAGAATGATATCATAACTGCGTGCATTATATATACGAAAAGAAAAACGCATCAGAAAAAAGTTCATTATACGTGTAAAAGAACTGCCCCATAACTTCACTCGAATAATGGGGTATTATAGTAGGAAGTACTGCAATGAAGAGTGCTCTGAGTGTTACTCTCACTATATTTGTGAAAATAACGTGTTTGTCGATCAAACAATACACATGTTATTATTCCTGGACCAGTTTCAGCATAAAAGTAAGAGAGTCCCAATGTGCAAAAGTTTTATCCATCCCGTTAGTAAAAAAAACCCGATGATCCGAATCTGTACCAAAGTTATCTGGAATGTCATTATTCATATTATTGCTATTGCTAAATATCAGTCAGTTTCTTGACTATACCTGATACTCGCCTGAGACAGCTAATAAACAATACACGAATACAAAATACACAGTGGTCCCACTCTTCCATTTTCTACCTCCCAAAATACTGTTTTACAAGAAATGAGACAAAACAAGACAGTTAAATTAAGACATTTTTTCGTCTATTCCTGTGCCCCATATACATGTATTGCAGAAAATTTGTCCCTGTCTACTGTTTTATCATTTTTTATACTTGAGCCCCTCCTTTCTTTAGCAAAACCCTGAATCCGATAGTGAATGCTCATAAAATTATCGCGTTCATCGCAAAATTGAAGGCCCTGTTCTTATCTGCCCTTCAAAGCCTGTTCCTTTAGCAGCCGTCTTAATATTTTACCGCTGGCCGTTTTCGGGATTTCATCAATAAATTCTATGCCGCCTCGTAGCTTCTTGTACGGTGCTATGTGCTCTGGAACAAAACATTCTTTTCATTAATAATAAATATTCATGCTCTTGTCGTCAAAAAAACTCAGACCTATGAGTATTGATGTAATTGTAGTGTATTATTTGATGAATATTTGCCTTAAAACTCAACATTTTCTGAGTATACACACCGTCTAAGAATGCATCAATCTCTTCTCCTTTGACGTCCATGTTAGGTTTGCGGACGACGTAGGCCCTGGGCAGTTCTCCCGCAATGTCGTCTGGTATACCGATCACTGCGACATCCTGCACTGCAGGGTGTGCTAGGATCAGGCCTTCAAGTTCTGCTGGAGGCACCTGTGGAGATAAAAATCAAGGCTATGACGACAACAGCAGAAGTTAAATCGCAGAATTTTGTTTCGCGGAGGGCCCAGTCGGGAAACATAAAAAACGCTACGGCATAAATATCAGTGATCATGTGATCTACAAATGTCAAAAGAAACTGAGTTATTACCGTAAATTGAAGTAAGAAAGCAAACAGAGTACACAGTGGCACGCTCTGTCTTAGGGACCATTCAGAATGAGAAGAGCCGAGTGCCAGCTGGTCCACGGCCTAAATATGGCGGACCTACATGAAAGGGAGACAGCTTAATCTTCACGGCTCCCCACGCGTCGTCCTTCGACCTACAGGGACGACGCGTGGGGAGGCGGTAAGAGGCGGAGAGACCATTAGAGGATTAAGCGGTCTACCTTTCATGTCGGTCCGCCATATTTAGGCCGTGTACCAGCTAGCACTCGGCTCTTCTCTTTCTGAATAACCCCTTACAAGATGAGCCTAATCCCATCTAACTGATTTTCCCGCTGGAGCCTATTTCAATCTTATGATGAGCTTCAGTTGATAAAACCGAATATTTCGCTAATTCTCGGACATTTCAGAAAACTCAGACCCACCTGGAATCCCTTATATTTGATGAGTTCCTTTACCCTGTCACTGATCCACATGTGATCGTCTTGGTCACGATACCCAATGTCACCTGAACAGCAGAACAATCACCTTAATAGCTATATTTATGCATTTTAATACTTTGTTCTTGTAAAACCATTATTCATTTCAATAAAAAGTCTTTCCATGTTTTTATTTTCAGTTTTGTATTGTGTCAAAACATGACTTTCAGAAAATAACTCTTTTTACGTAAGTCACGTGCTGTTTCAGGTCAACCTGCAATTGTTTCCTTTTTGAGAACTGGTTGTTTGATAAACTAACCTGCACTCAAAGACAGAGAAGGATCTGTCAAAACATTGTATTTCATTAAATGCCATCGGTTTATCGTCAATGCATATGACGTTCAAACAATTATTTAGATGTATTCGAAAAAGAACTCTTCTGAATTATGTAACTGTAAGGTTCTTACTTTTTTGATATTTTAGTATTTCCCATACAATAGCATTCAAAACATATGACATTTTTATCCAAACCGAAGTTTGTCCCATGCCTCATAGTTGAATTGAGAGAGAGAGTGAACTGAACGGTAGGATGTCAGAACGAATTGATACCTTCAACGGTTTGCGTGCATGGGGTTTGTAAGAGTGTTAGTCTTCAGGCGTCTTTTGATTATAAACTGTAAAGAAAAGTTTGATATTATTTAAGTCGTACCTGTATGGAGCCAGCCGTCTTTGATAGTATTAGCTGTGGCATCTGGGTTGTCGTGGTAGCCTAACATAACTTGTGGCCCCCGTACCAATAGTTCTCCCTCCTCCATAGGACCCAGATCTGCGCCGTTTTCTAGGTCTATTACCTACAATATGAATGAATCTTACAGGTATGTAACATAATCTCTCTCTCTTTCTCTCTCTCTCACACACACACATGCGCGCGCGCGCGCACACACACACACACACACAAACACCCCCCCCCCCACACACGCACCTATCATATGTGTTTACAAGATTTTACCTTGAACTCTGTGTTCGGCAGGGCAAACCCTATAGAACCTAATTTATAACCAACTGGAGGATTGCAGTGTGTCACAGGGCTAGTTTCTGTCAACCCGTAGGCTAGGAAAAAAAGATGAAGAGTCATGACTTATCCATTGATACGTCACGTAAAAACACATCTTCAGAAACAACAAAAATCATTTTAGTATGCGGGGAGAGGAACTTCTACTTAATTATAAAAAAATTATCCTTCATCTACATGTAAGTCTAAAATTAAACTTGCCATGCTTGATTTATGCCACATCCTATTTAGGTGTGTGTGTGTGTGTGTGTGAGTGCGTGCATGCGTGCGTGTGTGTGTGCTTCCGCGCGTGTGTGCGTCCGCTTGTGTGCAACGTGTGTGCAACGAGTGTGCAACTTTCAAGTATTTATCAATCAGCCACCAACAGTTCAAAGTTCAAATACATGCACATAAAACAGCATAAACCATCGTTTACTAAGTCAGTCCCACCTTGCTGGAAACGTTTACTAAGTCAATCCCATCTTGTTAGAAACGTTTACTAAGTTAACCCACCTTGTTGAAAACGATTCAATTTCAGTCTTTCCACACACTGTGAGGCAATGGCCTCAGTGCAGGGGGCCGCTCCCGTGACCAGGTTCCTGACAGACGACAGGTCATAACTGTCCACCAGAGGGCTCTTTGCCAAGGCGATAATGATAGGAGGCACCGCGTGAAGAATGGTGGCCTAGAAATTAATCAAGAAACTCGTTTCTGAAAATAATATATTATTTCTAGATGACACACTCTTGCCGTGTACATAAATCTATGTCAAAACCCCATGAATTGCAACAGATATACATTTAGGCAGGGTCAGAATAGATGCAAATAATGCAAAGAGATGCAAATAGCAAACAGATTAATTAAAAAAACTCATTAAAAACTCGTAGTACAAGTGGATATAAACTTCAACATCGGTTCATATGTGAAGTGGAAAAAAGCTATATAATAATACATTTCCAGTATCGATACCATTATTACTTGATAAAATAAGTAGCACCCAATCAGTATTCTTTATGTCCATTTAACAAGCTACGAGTCCGTCTAAGAAGAAATTTCGTGCCACATCCGTTTTGAACATACTGAAGCTTGTTTTTCGGTGTAAGTTGTTCGTTCACAGGATCCAAGCTACACCAGTTATAGAATCACTGGCTTAAAAACGGTCCTAGATTTGGGATATAGGCCCTATTTCACATTAAGAAACGCGTAATGAACTGTGCTACTATGTCTTAATTATTACTAGTCACTTACGTATAAAATAAAGCGCAGTTCTTGAATTTCCGCGAAGGTTGTGAAAATTATAAATTTACGAACGCGACGTCATCTCAGCGCACACTTTCTGTCCAGATTATCTCCCTAAACGCAGCCAGTAGTCCTTAGACTGACAATGAATCAAAAGCTTATAAATATTGCCAACTGATCTCATATAAGCGAAAAGGTTTTCACAAGAGTTTAAGAACATCGCATGCATTCTGAAAATCATTTAACATTGCTTTGACCATAGTAATGTCGCGAGCAGTATGTGCCGTGTACGTCCCTAGGTTGGCAAAGAATGTATGAAGCGGACTTCCGCATCTTGTATACAACAGTTTCCCAAGAGCCATTGCTATCACTAGGAATTTCTAGTGATATTCTTCAAAACTCGCCTTGTTAACCGAATAAATTATGCTCTCACCCTATGATTCTGAATGGTTTCAAGGTAGTATTCCAGCTGGAACTTCGGCAAAGTAATAATCTTGCTTCCCGTCTTAAGTCCTGTGAGCATGACTACAACTTGACCATAGATATGGAAAAATGGCAACAGGCCGGTCAACACCTCCTCCGGCCCCTCATAGTTCATCACATTCTCGTTACTGAAAGCAAACGTCAAACATACTTATGACAAGTAATTCCTTCCGCCCATTTTTTAAATAAACACACTGATTCTGTACTAGAATATTTACATGGAATCACCTTAGCTGGATTCATTTGGTGCATCATGTGTGTGCGTGCGCGTGCGTGTGCAGTATGCGCATGCATATGAATGCAAATATGGGTGCATCTTACAAAACATTTCCTAGGCAGTGCCACCAAATTTTACAAGCATAAGTTTAAATACAAACTTCATCCAAAAGTCAACTGAACTGAACTGAACTAAAATTGAACTGTACTAAAATTAAGAAATGGTGAAGATACAATATGTGTTTGGCTATTATATGTTCTCTTTTGCAAACATATTTTTCTCTACTGCCACAGGTTGTATCTATTCGGTGTACCTTCACTCACTTTAACTGGGCTATGTTAGATGTGATGTTGTAATGAGAAAGCATCACTCCTTTAGGTAAACCCGTCGTCCCGCTAGAGTAAGGCTGGGCTAGCACGTCCTCTTTGGTATTGATGTCAACGTTCTCCGGGAAAGCGTGGCCGTCATCTTCAAGAATGGAAGTAAATGGACGAAACCCCGACACGTTACCGAAGACTATAGTTTCTTTGACATTCGGCGCCATGGCAAGGGCATCCCTTGCGTGTCCAGCCACCATTTCGTGAGTTACTAAAATCTTGGTATTTGAGCGCTTCAGTTGATTACCAAGCTCCTCTACAATACAATGATAAATTACCCAGTTACGTATACTTCTGAGCGAGAAGCAAGTTACTCAAAAATTTAAACTAAAAGAGAAATAACATTAATCCTCATGAAAACAATTTTTTTTCAAAACGTATATGATACATTCTTACATTTGCTTTCCAGGGAAATTTCTTAGTTGTGTATTAAAGCATTTGCACAGGAGGTTTTTCTATCAGATAACATTGTAATCAAATGTGCGTGTGTGTGTGTGTGTGTGTGTGTGTGTGTGTGTGAGAGAGAGAGAGAGAGAGAAAGGGGCGGGAAAGAGAGGATATTACGCAAATCTACCTGGTGTGTACATAGGATTAGCACACGTCACTGTTCCTCCTAGAGCAGCCGTAGCGATGAATACCGTGGCATAGTCTGGCACATTGGGGCTGTACAGCGCTAACGTGTCCCCCTTCTTGAACCCAAGCCGAACCAATGCGCTTGCGCAGCGAATCACGGCGTCTTTTAGCTGCGAGTAAGTGTAACTCTGTCCCGTGGTCCCATCAACCTTGACAAATAATAATTTACTATTTAGTAATTTCTTATGGCATTTAACTGGAATATAGTGGATGGCATATTTTTCAAATCCTGTTTGGCCCCTTTTGCTCTTTCAATTTTGTGCGATGTTTTTAAAGCACGCTCAATACCACTTAAATACATGTACAACCTTTGGAAAAGCAGAAACTATCCATCCAGTCGATGATAGACAGACACGTTGGTAATATCATGGACATAATAAGAGAAGGCCTTCTCTTATTATGTCCATGGTAATATAAAGACAGGGATCACGAGCGAGAGTGCAAGCGTGAGCGATCACGTTTTATCAACGGAGTTTTGACTTTGCAAGTGAGAACAAAAAGGCTTTCATACATCTGGGGCAAGTAAACATTCATGGTGATCGTACATGTATGAACGGTATTAGTTGTAGATATATAATTTGGACTGTTGCCCTGTGAGATGTTATAAACCAGGCCCCAGTTTCACAAAAACTTAAGTCGGTTTTAAAGTAGCTAACTTCTTCCTTGCCAACGTTATATGGTCACATGCACACAGTTGGTATGAAAAGCAAGTAGTAGATCGTGAAACGCAGAATTTGTGAAACCGGGGACAGGTTTATTTTTAACTGACCAACACGGAATACTAGTAATTCCACAGGCAACTTATATGTACCAACCAGTTCAATATGTGACTGATGTTTACTGCCGGTGCATTTAGAAGGCAGTGAGAAGAAAAACGAGTCTGTTTTGTGTACGTTGAGGAGCATAGATTCAATTGCTTGGTCAAGCCAGTGTACCGCGACCAAAAAATTTAATTTGAAAAAACATTTTGTATTACACTAGTGCATACCAGCGCCATGTGGTTTCCGAACTTAGCCCAGTCCTTCATCACATCCTCAGCCAGGGGTTTGGTGGTAAGGTCTATATCTGGGTACGGACTTTTCACGATAGAGCTTGACCTTACTGGGGGCGTTGACCCGAAGCTTCGTAGCCATTGCGTGGAGTACACGGTGTGTTTCTGCTGACTAAACCCACCTGTCAGCCTGGTTGCACTATGGCATGACCACCGAGGCGGGTGACTCCAGGAACTTTGGTGTAAAACCCACCTCAACACCGCGTGCCTCCCCATCGCCTCAAATACACACACGGACTTGGGAATGTGGTCGGAAAGTTTGCTTTGTTATCAACTACTACATGTACAGGTGACCCAGTTTTCCAATTCTTAGATAACCTGGATATTGCTACGGACCTACTCATGCCCACTACCTGCAATGATTAACCAAACACGTCCACATCCACTCTTGTCATTTAGAAAATGTCATCGCAGATATACTCCCTTTCCCTGTACCTTGCATAGGTAAATATTGGCCGGGTTGATAAGCAATGTCTCCTAGCTTCACACTGTACACATAATGTAATGCATGGTGCTCTCATATCAACTTTATTTTCGATCGATATGTATCAGGGACAATAAGGCCACCCTGGCCTACACTGAGATGAATTAAGGGCCTGAATTTCTAATATGCACCGCCTTCTAACTTGGGGGTGAATTGTACGTACAGCCCCAAGATGAAAATAGTCGTTTGTGAGTATGTGGTAAATTTTGTTTATGGCGACGTAATAGAGACCACAACTTTAGATAATTTCGAATCAAAATATTTTTTAGATAGATGATAGGCGATAGGCCCAGAATGAAATAATTTGATTTTCATAAGGATCGTGTTTATGTGTAAAAAAAACCCAGAAGTTTTGAAAATATTAACTTCTGTGAAAGAGGGTACCTGAATGCTTCAAAGTAAAGACATTGATTACTAACCTCGTAGGACTCAGTTTAGAAATTCCTAGCTATAGGACAATGAATGAATGTTAACAGACATGTGTCAAAACAGGTGCTTTCGTGTGATTCTGAAAAGGTTTGTCAATTTCCAGTACTAAGCACTAGCGACCAATAAACAAGACAGCTTGTAAAATATTTGTTTGATTTATTGTATTGAATACTTAATTTTTTAATTTCGGGTGTAACCTCATTTTAATACACGGGCTATGGGTAGACAATATCGTGCACGATAGTTGACTCCCATGGGAGTACATCATACATGTATAGTAATAGCATGATGGCATGTGGGATTCTCCATCTACGCTCCACCCCTCCCCCCACCCCCCATAAAAAAAGGAAAAAAATCCAGGTCCCCTCGTTTCGTGGTTGTATTATGCTCTCTTGAGTAATTTTATTTCTAAATATGTTCTTATATTGCTGTACCAGTTTGATTTACTATTGAAATGGACTACTAAAAGTTTTAATTTTTTGTCATTAGTGATCCCAGTTCCTTTGCTCAGTGGGGATGAATCTTTTTTTTGTCCCTGACACTCATTCCTTAATTTTACCAGCATTCAAGATTTTGCACGATTTTCTGTTTAGTATGACCAAAATATGGACAGAACCCTTGTTACATGTCAGGCCCGTAGCCAGCAATTTCAAAAGGGGAGTTCTTTTTTTTAAATAGTGGGTCTTTTCCCATAAAAACTTCATGTACCTAGATCTTTTACCCAGAGTGGACCTTTTCCCAGCAAAAGGGGCGGTTCTTTCGAACCCCCCCGACCCCCCTGGCTACGGGCCTGCATGTAGACAATCAAGTAGGCCTAATAGCAACGTTGAATGCGGCGCACTGTTTTTTACATGGAAAAATTAATACTTTCTCAGTTGATATCATGTGTATACACTTCATAATGCTGTTTAGCTACCTTGTCAGGAACCACAGTATAGAAAAAGTACTAATCCTGATCAATACAAAATATGTCTAACGTTTCCGTGTTTTGTATATGCTGTAAGGAAATGTAGGCCTACTTCATTTTCTACTCCCTCACGGCGTCTGTTGATGCACACTCTTTTGATATGTGAAGTTTGTTTTGGTTTTGTATGTCTACCTGTTTTATTGTTTTGAAGTTACGGACACCTTTATTTCTCCTTATCTGTACTTCCCAGCACCCTGTCTTAAGTCTGGGGAACGTCCATCTTTGGGCTGAAAGATTTTCCCTTTTCCCCCTTTTTTGTTTCTTTATTAATTTACACAGAGTTTACCCACATCCCCCCACCCCCCTCAAAAAAATAAAAAAATAAAAAAAAAAATAAAAAAATAAAAAAAAAATACCGCACCATGTTAATGAAAGGGTTGGTTTATTAAGGCCCTCAACATTTCAGATTACGTAGCTTAACAATACAACCTAAAGGTACGCTGGTAGATAGAATGTATTTTTGTTTTTTAAACATGATTTACGAACATAGCAATTAAGTAGTCATTCAGTGTTTTGTTTTGTTTTTTAAATATATCTTTAGGGTGGAGGCGGCAGTATTTGGGTTTACCTGGGGACCAATGTAAAATTCCACACTTACCCCACCAATACCAATGCATTTTTTCCACTAAAAAAAGTACTTAAAAATAAGGATATGTCGAGCTTGTCAGCCAAATAATCAAATTTTATCTAATAAAGGGATGCAACGCTATGGGTATCTATCGGTGCTAGGTCGTATAGATGCGGGTTATATGAAAATTTATGGAGCGAAGTATTAGTACGGGCAATTTTTGAGATGACTCGATTTTAAATGAAGCTTTGGTCAAATTTAATTCTGAATTATATAAATTTGTGATTCCTATAGAGGTGTACGGAATTACAATAAGTTTTATTCTACTTTTTGACGCCCTTGATTTTATAAAAATGCCAGTGTCAAAAAGCATTCAGATGAAAACTATAGCTGTCGAACGGAAAATATTCCGAAGAGAGCCACGGTCCCCTGAAGCATATGTTTGAGTGTGAAAAAGGAATGGCACTTATCCGAATATAGTTTCGTAATTTTGTATTTTCGTGGGCTGGCGAAACATTCTTTTTTTATTCGACTCAGTGACTTAATTCAATTCATTTATTTCTAACACGGGAGTGATTAAAAAAAGTCCGCCTAAGTTTTGTTTTGATATTTTACAAATAGGGAATAATGGCGCTCATGAAAAAATTCTGAGAGCTATTCGAATCAAAAAACAAAAAAGAGGTTAAAACAAGTTTCATATTATCTATCACTCTTCAACTACGACTGATTTAGAAAAGAGAGTCCCATTGGAGTGGTAGAGATCACAGTTCACAGGAAATAAAATCGTCAATTCACAAATCACAGTAAATAATACTTTAATTCTCGCTGAAAATGCCTGAATCACTGGGTATAATGACTTCGTTTCACGAAGGACGGAGAATATAAAGACGCATAAATATTTAAGAGTCACGGGAATTTGGTGCTTCACGAATTATGTTAAATAAAATGAACGTTTCATTCATTTCGGGGAATAAAAAGAGGCTCTTATGAGTAACGATATACCAGTGGCTCCCTCAGAATGCGAGAAGAAACTGTCTAGTCAAACGTTTATATATCCTGTTAACCAAATTCCTACCGCGGATATCTTGATTGACAGTTATATAAACAAACGTCAATCACAATCATCCCGCAAACACACTTTTAGCTCACGTGTCAGTCAAACACCCCATTTTCATAGATTAGATCGACCTACTTTGGATCGACCTAACTCCCTGGGGGTTCGCGATGAATAGCTGTCAGCCAGGCGGACACGAAAGTTAATTGCCCCTTACGGCTTGTAGTGGGCGGGGACGGACACTTAAGGGGGATTATCTGACGGTAGTCTGGTGAGACTCCCCGCGGTGATAGATCGATCTAAAGTTGTGGGAATAGACCCAAAGCTATTAAATGCAGACAGCTTGATTTATTATTATATAAACAATGTCAATCATCACACTGATGATCAAGTATAGTGTAATTATAGAGAATACCCCTTTATTCCAATAGGTGCAAAGTTTTTGTATGGAAACGATCGCGATAAATGTTGCAAAAAAAAAAAAAAAAAAAATTGTCAATTGAAAAAGATGGAGAAGGAAGCATGACGGAAGGAAAGCTTGACCTGAACTTTAATTGTTGTTTTGGTTACATAAAATGCTTCAATATCTTAGTAGATACAAAGATGCGGTGGTTTCAGAGTGCTACACATAAATCTACCTGTGAAAGTGTATATGGAAAGAGTAGCGTCCAAACCCGAAAAGATTATGAACGACATCGACACTACTCACCCTGCTAGTGAACTTTTTAAGTTCCCTCCAAGCAAATGTAGACTTTTATCTTTTAGAGAAAGCAAACGATTTTTAAAAGCTGCCATACAATCCCCACATCTCTTTTTAATAATAAAACTTAGTATTTCTAAGGCATACAGACACGGGACATCCGATTCGTTTGAGCAAAGATACTAAAAGTGGTCGGATGTCTTCGAAGAGTAGTTATCTCTTGTAGTTTGTTATCTCTTAGGGCAGTATTGAAAGAAAGTTCTGTATTTTCTCCCCAAGTTTTCCCCGTATATGAAAATTTATACTATTTTCTCTGAACTTAAATAGTTTCCTGTCTACGTAATAAGTACTCAGAATGATATTCCCGCTACCTTGCCTTTAATGCTATTATTTTCTACCATTTACATACTTAAAGTACTATCATGATCATTTCAGTATCGTTGTTGTTCTGTGTTCTTTTTTCTTTTGTAGGTTATTAGAAAATATTCACAAATACACAAAAACCTTTAATTTTCAATATCATCATGTAGCCAGTTGACGTAATACATATAAAAAATAGTGCAGTCCTGCAGGGATAGTGCTCAGTGTGAGGAAACGTGTATTCATTTAAGTAGGCCTGCTCTTGGATGAATAATTTTTCAGCCAAGGCCTGCATTTCGATCTCTTTTTATTCAAAATCTTTTACGGCATAAAGTGCCTGTGTAATGAAGGTCAACGAGTAGTTCTAGAAACTCAAATTTCTTGCAAAAATCAACTGACATTGTGTTTTACCTATAGGAAAATATAATAAGGATTATCAACTTTTCCAATAAAAATGTGATAGTATACAGCCACAGCAAATTACATTGCACCAGAACAAGACAAATATGAATCAAAGTATTTATATATTTATTTAAAAATTAACATTGCTATTGGCACTGTACACTTATTCTATCACACATGTAGCACCATCACTTAGACAATAAAAAGGTCAAGTTTGGAAGGTGGACATTCAAGTTCATGGCAGACTGGCTACTCATGTATGAATATCAAATTTCAGCTGTAAAAATAGGCAAAATGCAGGCTAGATTACTACTAAACCTACAGCCAGTCATCAG